GGGGTCATTTTACCCCGATCTGCTTTACAGGGTTGATCTGGTCTTGACAGCAATTGCTGTGATCGGCCATGCACGCCGCCAGCAGATGAGGGGAGAAGCATGGAGAGCCTCTCTTTGCATTTGACTGCCGCGCGGCGTTAACGGGGCTATGGTCACGGGCTAGTACGCAAACGAAACAAAGCACAACACAACAGAGCCTAGGACGACTGGAAGGGCGCGAGGGCCATGGAGCTGGCATGAGTAGACCATGCCGCTCCCTTACCCCCGCCTGAGGTCATAGCTTCCCCGCAGGCCACAGGAGAGGACGTCCAAGGCCCGCGCCCTCTCCCACCGACTCGAAGACGACGCGCGCCGCCTCGCGGACCGCGCCGCCCTCGCCACCCTCACGACCAACCTCCGCTGCGACGGCTAGGGGGCGGCCTCCGGCCGCCACCTGGCTCGGCTCGCCAAGGTACCCCACGAACCCCCCTGGATAAGCTTCCAGTCAGCCACAGGAGAGGCAGCGAGGAGCTGCTCCCGGAGCGCCTCGTTGGAAATCGCCTCCTGGGACCCCGCGCCGTGCGCCATGGCCCGCGGGGAGACGCGCGAGGCCCGCGCCCAGCGGGAGGCGGAGGAGGATGCGAAGGACGCGGAGGCGGACCGCATCATGGAGCTCGCCGGGAAGCGCCTCGAGCAGGAGCGCCACTGCCTCAAGAAGCGCGACGAGCTCATGCTCTTCGTCTCCGCGGGCGAGATCGAGCGCGTCGCGTTCGTCCTCAGCGGCAAGAAGAAGCCCGACGTGGGCATGCGCGACTTCGGGGGCAACAACCTCGTCGCCCTCGCCGTCGAGGGCGACCGGCGCGTCGTCCTGGAGCTGCTTTTAGACGCGGGCGCGGCGGCCGACAACGTCGACTACGTGGGCCACACGCCGCTGATGCTCGCGGCGCTCCACGACCGCGTCGAGTGCGGCTACCGCTGCGCCGTCGCCGCGCCCGCGGCGCTGGACACGCAGGGGCGCCGCGACGGGCGCACCGCGCTCCACATGGCGTGCCGCCACGGCCACGCGAAGATGACCAAGCTGCTCGTGGACGCGGGCGCGCGCGTGGACCTGACGGACTTCCGGGCGCTGACGGCGCGGGATTT